GGAATTATACATTACGGATTGACACAGTTACAGTTGAGAGGCGGGACCAAAGAGCCAAAGCTCAACCCCCCCTATGCAAACACAACCTGGCGAGTACACATCATAACCAAAATATCGGTTATATATTGGTTTTGTTTACCATCGTGATTTTGTTGAGATACAATAGTTATGTTGTATTAGTTATGTTGTATAAACACCCCCTTAAGAATATTTGTTTACGGGCACTTGGTAGGTTAGGTAAGCCGGACAGGCTGCCAACACCAACAGGCTAACTGGTCATGTTCCTTAGTGTGGTCGGAGAGTGGTTCAGCAGGAGCTGTGGTCACTTTCCCTTCCGTACAGTCGTGTTCCCTCACTCACCTTCCTCACGGCTGTGTTCCCTCACACACCTTCCTCACGGCTGTGTTCCCTCACTCACCTTCCTCACGGCCGTGTTCCCTCACTCACCTTCCTCACGGCCGTGTTCCCTCACTCACCTTCCTCACGGCTGTGTTCCCTCACTCACCTTCCTCACGGCCGTGTTCCCTTACTCACCTTCCTCACGACCGTGTTCCCTCACTCACCTTCCTCACGGCCGTGTTCCCTCACTCACCTTCCTCACGGCCGTGTTCCCTCACTCACCTTCCTCACGGCCGTGTTGCCTCACTCACCTTCCTCACGGCCGTGTTGCCTCACTCACCTTCCTCACGGCCGTGTTCCCTCACTCACCTTCCTCACGGCCGTGTTGCCTCACTCACCTTCCTCACGGCCGTGTTGCCTCACTCACCTTCCTCACGGCCGTGTTCCCTCACTCACCTTCCTCACGGCCGTGTTCCCTCACTCACCTTCCTCACGGCCGTGTTCCCTCACTCACCTTCCTCACGGCCGTGTTCCCTCACTCACCTTCCTCACGGCCGTGTTGCCTCACTCACCTTCCTCACGGCCGTGTTGCCTCACTCACCTTCCTCACGGCCGTGTTGCCTCACTCACCTTCCTCACGGCCGTGTTGCCTCACTCACCTTCCTCACGGCCGTGTTCCCTCACTCACCTTCCTCACGGCCGTGTTCCCTCACTCACCTTCCTCACGGCCGTGTTCCCTCACTCACCTTCCTCACGGCCGTGTTCCCTCACTCACCTTCCTCACGGCCGTGTTCCCTCACTCAGCCCCGTCGACCGGCCGCCATTTTTCACAGCTTTTTTACGGTCACGTTATTTCTTCAGTCCATTTACTGGGTCGCTATTACTCGTTCCCTGTTCCTCCCTCCCCGTCCCTTTTCCCTTCTCTCCCCTACCTTTCCCTTCACCCTCTACCTTTCCCTTCTTCCCCTTACCATTCCCTTCCCTCTATCATTCCTTTCTCCCCAACACACACACATTTCCTCTTTCACACTCTTTCACTCCCCTCACCAGCATACACCCTCCCCTCACACACCCCACACCCTCCCCACACACACCCCACACCCTCCCCTCACACACCCCACACCCTCCCCTCACACACCCCACACCCTCCCCTCACACAAGTACACAGAGAATGACAAAGAGGTGTGTGACGATCTCAACAAGAGGTTCTAGGAGGTCTTCACAGTAGAACGAGGAGAGGTCCCCCGCTTCCAGGTTTCTGACCAGGTCTGGAGCGAGTAATAAACCAAGCAGTTTTGGAAGGGTTCGAAATTTCCAGAGATGAAGTTAGGAATGTTGGCTCTGGACGTGAGAAAGACTGCTGGCCCTGAGGGAATCTCACCCTGGGTACGGAAAGAGAGTGCAGAAGCACTTTGCTTGACACTCTCCAAGGTATATAATAGTCACCACTGCTTTTCCTTATTCTCATATCTGATATAGACAAAAATACAAGTCACAGCTTCGTATCATCCGTTCATGCAGATGATACAAAAATCAGCATGGAAATTACCTCTGCTGAAGACATTGAAAAACTACAAGCAGATATTAATAAAGTTTTTGACTGGGCAGAAGATAATAACATGATTTTAACTGGTAAATTCCAGGTACTCAGGTACGATAAAAATGAGAACCTTAAACAGGGTACCTTAAACAGGGTGCCAGGTTAATACAGGGTACAAAACACAATCAGATTTGCCCATAGTTGGAAAGCAGAATGTCAAGGATTTGGGAATAATGTCTGACGATCTAACGTTTAGGGAGCATAACCAAGCAAATATTGCGTCATCCGAAAAAATGACAGGATGGATTACGAGAACTTTCAAATCCAGGGATTCCATCACAATGGTTGTACTCTTCAAATCATTTGTGCTGTCTCGTCATGAGAACTGCTCAGTACTCAAACCCCCCCCCTCTCCCTTTCAGAGCAGCAGAGATGCTGAAATAGAGGGAATACAGAGAACATATACGGCACGCATAGACGTGATAAAGCACCTAAATTATTGGGATTGTCTCAAAGCTCTCCAAATGTACTCACTAGAAAGGAGACGAGAAAGATACCAAATAATATACACTTAGAAAATACTAGAGAGCCAGGTCCCAAATCTATACACTAAAATAACAACATACTGGAACGAAAGATACAGAAGAAAATGCAGAATAGAACCAGTGAAGAGCAGAGGTGCCATAGGCACAATCAGAGAACACTCTATAAACATCAGAGGTTCACGGTTGTTCAACGTCCTCCCAGCGAGCATAAGAAATATTGCCGGAATAACCGTGGACATCTTCAAGAGAAAACCGGATAGTTTTCTTCAAGGAGTGCCGGACCAACCGGGCTGTGGTGGGTATGTGGGCCTGCGGGCCGCTCCAAGCAACAGCCTGGTGGACCAAACTCTCACAAATCAAGCCTGGCCTCGGGCCGGGCTTGGGGGAGTAGAAGAACTCCCAGAACCCCATCAACCAGGTAACATGGTCACTTTTTTCCAAGACTTACCTCGTGATGAACTACAGTATAGTGGTATGTGACGGTCATACCACGCTGAAAACACGGCTTCTCCAGGTATGCAGAGGACGTCGGCGAACTCCAGGGTGACAGGAACGCTAGTAAATAAAAAGTTGAACATAAACAAATGCAAATTCTTTATCTTGGGTGAAAAGACAAGTGATGCGGTATACCACATCAATAATACAGTCACTGATAGTTCTAATTGTGAGCGAGGCTCGAGTATAATGGCGAGAGACACACTGAGACACACACACCGAGAAACCAAGACAAGACATGAACCAAACATGAATATTATCCGTCAGGGACACTCAGTACTGGTGAAGACCCACTTGTACTACACCGACCAGTTCTGGTCCCCGGGCCACACACTGGACATCATGAGACACCACACTGAAGAATGACAAGGCTGATAATACCTAGTGTCGGGCACCTTTCCCACGGAGATACACTCAAGTCTTAGTTAAATTAGCCCCCAAGGGGGAGTTTACTGGAGAGCGTCACTCATTCTGTGAGTGAGCACGTGCAACAGAAAGGAACCAGCTGGGTTGTCCTTCCTCATGCGACTGATAATGTGTACTGAGTGGAGAGGAGTACCAGAGTGGTTGACAACACTCGCCCCCCCCCCATCCCGTGCTCGCCGCCCCCCCCCCCATGCTCGCCGCCCCTATGCCCGGGGAGGGAGACAGCCAGCTGGACTTCACTCACAGTTCTGATTTACTGCTACTTGTCCTCATTAAGGCCGCCGCCACCATCGCCGCCCTCCACACCCGCCTTGTGCCTTACACAACACTCCACACCTGGAGCCAGAGGGATAACAATGGGGAGGGATAACAGTCTAGGTAAAATATAAAAAAAATCAAATAAGTTAGAAATAGATAAGAAGTAAGGCTAGCAAGAAAGGAACTATGAAGCATGTGTAGCAGGACAAGCAAAGTTAAATCCTAAATGTATTTGTTTCAGCTTTATCCAACATTATGACAGGACAGGTCTGACTACCTGTTTACCTACCAGTCAGTTAACAGATTTATAATGACAAAGAAATTAGTAATATTTTAAATAAATACTTTGTCTCTGTATTTACTAGAGAGGAACTTAACCTTATGCTTTAAGCTGAACAAATATATATTCGTGGTGAAGAGGACAGGATGACTAGTGGTTACCAGGGAGGAAGTTATTAAGCAAATAGAATATATTGAGGTCAAACAACTCTTCAGGCCCAGATGAAGTGCTTGCCAGGGTACTTCAAGAATGTAAGGAAGAGCTTTGTGAGCCCCTGTCTTGTATGTTCAAGAAATCATTAGAATTAAGAATTAAGAATTAAGAAGAATGCGAATTAAGACAAAGCCTTGGGACACTCCGCTTACAATGGTTTCCCACTCTGGCTCATATATATTAACTCTTTATTTCCTTTGATTTAGCCATGCCATTATCCTGTTTGAGATAGTACCGTTAACGTCTATCTTTCTAACCAGTCTGCCGTTTGGCACCGGATCAAAAGTGTTGTTAAAGTCGAGGTAGACAATGTCACAATCCTTTCCACTATCAACTGCCTCAATGTGCTGGAACAGAATGAAAGCAAATTTGTGGACTCTGAGCGGCCCTGAGTAAAACCACAATGTGGATTAATCTATATTTAATAATCTATATTTTAAAGATGTTGTCGAATGGCCTTTGCAAGCATTGATTCAAACAAATTTCCCACATTAGAAATGTAGCTAATTGGTCGATAGTTCAATGCAAATGATGTCTCTTCTTAATTCTCTAAGGTACACAAGGGTACCACCTCGAGGTAACGGTCACCATTACCCTTAAATAAATAGAAGGCAAATTGGTGAGGCAGGAACTGGGTGATTTATAATACAATCTTCTATTATTAGCCACTATTTTATAGCAACAATTCTGATTGCTTTATTTGTTAATGTATTCTTTAGTGGCTCTCTGAGCTCTTCCTCATTAACCAGCTGCCTTCACTCTTATAGCAGGAGGGAGGGAGAGGGAGAGGGAGAGGGAGGGAGGGAGGGAGAGGGAGGGGGGGCTAGGAAGGGGGATGGACGAGGAGGAGGGGGGGGGGGGTCGTGTAAACAAACACTTAGCCTTATGGGATGCTCAAGCTCCATCATCGTGCATTATCTCCAGTGTGACAGGCGGTGCTGCAGTACTTGGTGCAGGGCACGGTGTAGGGGCAGTACTTGGTGCAGGGCACGGTGTAGGGGCAGTACTTGGTGCAGGGGAGGGTGTAGGGGCAGTACTTGGTGCAGGGGACGGTGTAGGGGCAGTACTTGGTGCAGGGCACGGTGTAGGGGCAGTACTTGGTGCAGGGGACGGTGTAGGGGGCAGTACTTGGTGCAGGGCACGGTGTAGGGGCAGTACTTGGTGCAGGGCACGGTGTAGGGGCAGTACTTGGTGCAGGGCACGGTGTAGGGGCAGTACTTGGTGCAGGGGACGGTGTAGGGGGCAGTACTTGGTGCAGGGGACGGTGTAGGGGCAGTACTTGGTGCAGGGCACGGTGTAGGGGCAGTACTTGGTGCAGGGGACGGTGTAGGGGGCAGTACTTGGTGCAGGGGACGGTGTAGGGGGAGTACTTGGTGCAGGGCACGGTGTAGGGGCAGTACTTGGTGCAGGGGACGGTGTAGGGGGCAGTACTTGGTGCAGGGCACGGTGTAGGGGGCAGTACTTGGTGCAGGGGACGGTGTAGGGGGCAGTACTTGGTGCAGGGCACGGTGTAGGGGCAGTACTTGGTGCAGGGGACGGTGTAGGGGCAGTACTTGGTGCAGGGGACGGTGTAGGGGCAGTACTTGGTGCAGGGGAGGGTGTAGGGGGCAGTACTTGGTGCAGGGCACGGTGTAGGGGCACTACTTGGTGCAGGGGACGGTGTAGGGGGCAGTACTTGGTGCAGGGCACGGTGTAGGGGCAGTACTTGGTGCAGGGGACGGTGTAGGGGCAGTACTTGGTGCAGGGGACGGTGTAGGGGCAGTACTTGGTGCAGGGGAGGGTGTAGGGGGCAGTACTTGGTGCAGGGGACGGTGTAGGGGCAGTACTTGGTGCAGGGGACGGTGTAGGGGCAGTACTTGGTGCAGGGGACGGTGTAGGGGCAGTACTTGGTGCAGGGGACGGTGTAGGGGCAGTACTTGGTGCAGGGCACGGTGTAGGGGCAGTACTTGGTGCAGGGCACGGTGTAGGGGCAGTACTTGGTGCAGGGGACGGTGTAGGGGGCAGTACTTGGTGCAGGGCACGGTGTAGGGGGCAGTACTTGGTGCAGGGCACGGTGTAGGGGGCAGTACTTGGTGCAGGGGACGGTGTAGGGGGCAGTACTTGGTGCAGGGGACGGTGTAGGGGGAGTACTTGGTGCAGGGCACGGTGTAGGGGCAGTACTTGGTGCAGGGGACGGTGTAGGGGGCAGTACTTGGTGCAGGGCACGGTGTAGGGGGCAGTACTTGGTGCAGGGGACGGTGTAGGGGGCAGTACTTGGTGCAGGGCACGGTGTAGGGGCAGTACTTGGTGCAGGGGACGGTGTAGGGGCAGTACTTGGTGCAGGGGACGGTGTAGGGGCAGTACTTGGTGCAGGGGAGGGTGTAGGGGGCAGTACTTGGTGCAGGGCACGGTGTAGGGGCACTACTTGGTGCAGGGGACGGTGTAGGGGGCAGTACTTGGTGCAGGGCACGGTGTAGGGGCAGTACTTGGTGCAGGGGACGGTGTAGGGGCAGTACTTGGTGCAGGGGACGGTGTAGGGGCAGTACTTGGTGCAGGGGAGGGTGTAGGGGGCAGTACTTGGTGCAGGGGACGGTGTAGGGGCAGTACTTGGTGCAGGGGACGGTGTAGGGGCAGTACTTGGTGCAGGGGACGGTGTAGGGGCAGTACTTGGTGCAGGGGACGGTGTAGGGGCAGTACTTGGTGCAGGGCACGGTGTAGGGGCAGTACTTGGTGCAGGGCACGGTGTAGGGGCAGTACTTGGTGCAGGGGACGGTGTAGGGGGCAGTACTTGGTGCAGGGCACGGTGTAGGGGGCAGTACTTGGTGCAGGGCACGGTGTAGGGGGCAGTACTTGGTGCAGGGGACGGTGTAGGGGGCAGTACTTGGTGCAGGGGACGGTGTAGGGGGAGTACTTGGTGCAGGGCACGGTGTAGGGGCAGTACTTGGTGCAGGGGACGGTGTAGGGGGCAGTACTTGGTGCAGGGCACGGTGTAGGGGGCAGTACTTGGTGCAGGGGACGGTGTAGGGGCAGTACTTGGTGCAGGGCACGGTGTAGGGGCAGTACTTGGTGCAGGGGACGGTGTAGGGGCAGTACTTGGTGCAGGGGACGGTGTAGGGGCAGTACTTGGTGCAGGGCACGGTGTAGGGGCAGTACTTGGTGCAGGGCACGGTGTAGGGGCAGTACTTGGTGCAGGGGACGGTGTAGGGGCAGTACTTGGTGCAGGGGACGGTGTAGGGGTTAAGTCCTCTCACAGTAGTTGGGTCCTCTCATTTGTGTAACCGTGTCGAGCTCCCTGAACTTTTCCTAGTTAAAATTTTTGTTTTTTGTTTCAGGTTGGTGGTCGAGGTTTGAGCTGCATACTCAAGGGTAGGTATTATGTACGTGGTATAGCCTTCCCATCATCGTCGCAAGGTAACCGCAAGGTAAGGTTCCCATGCCACTTGTTAATGATCTTGAAGGCCACTAGGATGTTTGCCAGTTTGTTGTTATTCTGGTGTTGTTGTTTGCTGATGTGTTTTATGGAGGCCTACGGGCAGCTGCAAGCAACAACAGCCTGTTGGACCAAGTTAGTCGAACCTGGCCTCAGGCTGGGCTCGGGGAGTAGAATAACTCCCGAGTCTCTCAATGCAAGATCCAGGTACGAGGCAACTTTGGAATATATATATATATATATATATATATATCCCGATCTTGCTCGTTCTCTGATAGAAGGTATCTTCTTTTATCATGCATTTTTTGTGTAATTTTCTCATTGGTGTTCCTATCCTCGTAACTTTGTGTTCGTCATGATTACATGTAAGTCAGCAGGAGTCGTACACAGACAATGACACCATTTATAGTACCGTTTCATCCACATGCACACAGAGATCACAATAGCCTGATACATCAAATGAACACATTCACAAGGGCCGTGATGAGGTATTTATTGATAGGTTCGATTCCTCATCACGGCCCGTGTGGATTTGACCGTTTCATCATTTACAGATGAACTAAAAAAAATTATGAGAGTAGACTGTATAGAGGACACGGTAAACCTTCAGTCTGATGTAAATCAGGTCTTTCAAAGGTAGGAACTCTTGGTAATGTAATCTACACGTGGAAAATATTAGAGGGGCTGGTCCCAAACCTGCACACAGAAATAACAGCACATGAGACCAGAAGGCATGGCAGAATGTGCAGAATACCCCCGTTGAAGAGCAGAGGTGCAACAGGTACTCTGAGAGAGAACTATCAACATCAGAGGCCCGAGACTGTTCAACACGCTTCCACTACACATAAGGGACATAACTGGCCGACCCCTCACAGTGTTCAAGAGAGAACTATCAACATCAGAGGCCCGAGGCTGTTCAACACGCTTCCACTACACATAAGGGACATAACTGGCCGACCCCTCACAGTGTTCAAGAGAGAACTATCAACATCAGAGGCCCGAGACTGTTCAACACGCTTCCACTACACATAAGGAACATAACTGGCCGACCCCTCACAGTGTTCAAGAGAGAACTATCAACATCAGAGGCCCGAGACTGTTCAACACGCTTCCACTACACATAAGGGACATAACTGGCTGACCCCTCACAGTGTTCAAGAGAGAACTTGATAGACACCTCCAAAGTTTACCTGATCAACCAGGCTGTGAGTCATGCGTTAGGCTGCGAGCAGCCGCGTCCAACAACCTAGTTGATCAGACCACCAATCAGGAGGCCTGGTCGAAGACCGGGCCGCGCGTACGTTGATCCTGGGAAGCAACGCCAGGTAATGTAAGGTTCCAGCTTGCTGAGGTACAGCTCCCTGAGCCTCGTCTCCTTGGCTCAGGGATGGGTGTTGTATGCTCGTGTGTGTTTTGTTTCTGATAGAGTTCAGTTCCTGAGCCTATTATGTGCCTCTGTAACCCTTTCCACCACCGCCCACGGGATGGGTATGGGGTGCACAATAAAGAAAGAATCAATTAGAATACTGTGTATTTATTGATAGTAACTTTGGAAAGGTTTCATGGCCTATAAACAACGGCCAGATGTGAAAGGCGGATTTTTCTTTGAATTTTCGTTCGAATTTTGCCCCTGTAAGGTATTGTGGGCTTTTAATTTCACTGATGGCTTTTGGTTCCTTGTCCTTTGTCTTAAGGGTTTAAAATGGCTCTAGTTTTGCCTCGGTATTACATATTTCTTAAATCAGTCTTTCTTTTCATTCTGGGAGAGTGTGGAGCGTTGAGTCGTTCAGCGGCTCACTTTTGTCCATCTGTAAATGTAGTGTATTTACACTACATTTACCTTGTAAAGTGTACCTTGAGAACACTTCCCGCGGTATAAGTAGCTCATGAAGCCGTCGTCTGGCTCCAGGGTAACACACACACTTTTGCTGCCCGAATCCACTCACTTGAACACCTAAGTTATTGGGACCGCTTTTAGTTTTATATCTGTATTTCCTATAGCTTAGGCGAGATAGATAATTGACCTGGAAAATACTATGAGGACTGGTTCCAAATCTGCTCATGGAAATAACACCACAAGAGACCAGGGGGCCAGATTCACGAAGCAGTTATGCAAGCACTTACGAACCTGTACATCTTTCCTCAATCTTTAGCGGCTTTCTTTGCAATTATTAAACAGTTAATGAGCACCGAAGCACCAGGAGGCTGTTTATAACAATAACAACAGTTGATTGGGAAGTTTTCATGCTTGTAAACTGCTTAATAAGTGTAACCAAAGCCGTCGAAGATTCAGGAAAGATGTACACGTTCGTAAGTACTTGCGTAACTGCTTCGTCAATCTTGCTCCAGGAGGCATGGCAGGATGTGCAGAAAGCCCGGTTGACAAGACGAGGGGCAACAGGTACGCTGAGGGAGAACTCTAATCATCATCAAGGGGCTCTTCAGCACCCTCTACACCCTCTACACATAAGAGGCATAACCTCTCGTGGTGTGTAATAGCAGCCCATCCTCGTGTTGAGGTAGTACTTATAGTAACGACGACCACCATAATATATATACCGACGTACAGCGAGATTAGAAAGGAGAAATCGGCACTGTTGAGTTAGACAAACCGGAAAACTATTTTTTACTTGAGTTGCAAAGATAAATTAACTAACCTTCCTAGGCCTATTGCACGATATCTAAGGCCTAATATAGTACATATATGTACTATACTTAGCCTAGGAATATTTAAGTGTGCTTTTTAGCTTGATTTTGTTTTAACTTTATAAAGTGAATAGTACAAAGTTCTGCTATGTAATTGCTTAGAACGGCAATCTTTGTACTACGGTGCTGCTATCTAAACACGAAGATCGGTTGTTAACAGAGAACTTGATAAACACCTCCAAAGGATACCTGATCAACCAGGCTGTGATTCATACGTCAGGCTGCGAGCAGCCGCGCCCAACAGCCTAGTTGACCAGACCACCAACCAGAAGCCTTGTGAGAGACTGGGCCGCGCGGACGGTGATCCTCGGCACCGCAAAAAGGTAACTACAAGTTATATTGAGCTATTAGCCTTCCCTTCTGGTTTGACTCGTCTCATGGAACGGAAGATCCGAGATGATATTGATCTGACTTTCAAGTTAGACGACACATTTGTGTTTGACTTGTGTCAGTGAAGTGACTTGTTTTGGCATGTGTAAGTTATAGACTAGCGCGTCGCTCGTAAAGGGCGAGGAAGAGTCCATCTTTCTCATGAACATTTTGTGCCCCCTGTGTTTATCTTGTGGCGCCTCTGATGTCAAGTCACCTTACACACATTATCTTCCCAGCGTCAGTACGGACGCGATCTGTTGGTCTCCAGCTGATCTATATCTATTACCGAGTGATTTGTCAGGGAATTAGGCAGGTGGGTTCTCTACGGACGGGTACGCCTGCTGGGGCCTGGTTGAGGCCTGGTTGAGGCCTGGTTGAGGCCTGGTTGAGGCCTGGTTGGGGACTGCTTGGGGACTGCTTGGGGACTGCTTGGGGACTGGTTGGGGCCTGGTTGGGGCCTGGTTGAGCCTGGTTGAACCTGGTTGGGCCTGGTTGGGGCGTGGTTGAGCCTGGTTGGGGACTGGTTGGGGACTGGTTGGGGCCTGGTTGGGGCCTGGTTGGGGCCTGGTTGAGCCTGGTTGGGGACTGGTTGAGCCTGGTTGGGACCTAGTTGAACCTGGTTGGGGACTGGTTGGGGCCTGGTTGGGGCCTGGTTGAGCCTGGTTGGGACCTAGTTGAACCTGGTTCGGGACTGGTTGGGGCCTGGTTGGGGCCTGGTTGAGCCTGGTTGAACCTGGTTGAGCCTGGTTGAACCTGGTTGGGCCTGGTTGGAGCCTGGTTGAGCCTGGTTGAACCTGGTTGGGCCTGGTTGGGGCGTGGTTGAGCCTGGTTGGGGACTGGTTGGGGCCTGGTTGAGCCTGGTTGAGCCTGGTTGAACCTGGTTGGGGCCTGGTTGAGCCTGGTTGAACCTGGTTGGGCCTGGTTGGGGCCTGGTTGAGCCTGGTTGAAACTGGTTGGGCTTGGTTGGGGCCTGGTTGAGCCTGGTTGGGGCCTGGTTGAGCCTGGTTGAACCTGGTTGGGCCTGGTTGAGCCTGGTTGAACCTGGTTGGGCCTGGTTGGGGCCTGGTTGAGCCTGGTTGGGGATTATTATTATTATTATTATTATTACATCGCACATCATAAAAGTATTTGAGAGAGTGATTAGGAGTCAGGTCACCAATTTCATGGAGACCAATGACCTTCACAACCCAGGCCAACATGGATTTCGAGCGGGAAGATCGTGCCTCTCACAGCTACTTGAGCACTACGACAAAGTCACTGAGGCATTAGAAGAGAAACAGAATGCTGATGTGATATACACGGACTTCGCAAAGGCTTTCGATAAATGTGACCATGGCGTGATAGCACACAAAATGAAGTCAATGGGAATAACCAGTAAAGTAGGACGCTGGATACTCAGTTTTCTGTCAAACAGGACTCAGCGAGTAACTGTCAACCATATAAAATCTAGTCCAAGTGCAGTGAAAAGCTCTGTACCTCAGGGTACAGTCCTTGCACCGCTGCTTTTCCTTATTCTCATATCAGATATAGACAAAAATACAAGTCACAGCTTCGTATCATCCTTTGCAGATGACACAAAAATCAGTATGAAAATTACCTCGTCTGAAGACATTAAAAAACTTCAAGATGATATTAATAAAGTTTTCGACTGGGCATCAGAAAATAACATGATGTTTAACAGTGATAAATTCCAGGTACTCAGGT